CGGTACGGTACACCTTACACTTTCATCCTCACTATTCACAATCATCTTCAACACTTGCTCGACCACAGCATTCAGCTTTAAGGACCCCACTTCGTTTCTTTTAGACACTCCTTCTCCACCCCCATCTATGTTGCCATCATCATCTCCAGGAGTAGAACCGATACCAACGACAACTAACTTGTTCAACGCAGAAATCCCGCATTCCTTTAATTGCGCCTTGTACCTTCCTTCATTGAAATCTACCTGTTCATTCTCTAATTTCTCCATCATCTCCAATATACCAACTACAACATTCTTCCATACATTGGCGTTCACATAATCTTGCCGCCGACTGGGCACGCTCAACGCTTTCACAGCGTGTATCCGCACTTTGTAATTCTTGTGACTCAAGATCGACGTTAATGTTTCGTAAAGGCCAATTGTCCACCCACACGTTGACAACGGAAGTACCGGATTATGCAAAAAATTCGTGATTGCATGACACGCATTCCACCGGGTCTAGTAAGGCTCTCGTCAGCTCTCGTCAGATTATCGAAAATAATGCATCTCTCAGAATCCGACAGCAAAAAAGATTGTGTAATAATTGAAATTTCTCACTTACCTTTAACGAGCCGCTTTTAACATTTTTCAACAGTAGCTGCACCGATTCTTCCAACAATTTCCCCCGTTCAGCAGACAATACATCTGAATTAGACACTCTTATTATGGACCCTAAAATCCGTGCCCCATTCACCCGGCACTAAAAATATGTTAAAGCGAATGAGCAAAACTGTCCAAACGCTCCACTTAGTACGTAAAAGAACAGGATACCTTGTCGTTATCTTTGGCCATCATTACTCCTGTCTTCATAATTTTTAAAATTAATTCAGCAGGTATCCCCTCGGGTAGCCCATTTTCGGAATTCTTCTTGCCAGCACCCCTGTCCATAGTTTCTATTCCACTTTGCACTCTTTCAGCTTCCGGAGTTGAAACCTCTGTGTTAATATGCTGTCCATACGGATCTTCGCCTTCAAGCAATTTTTCTCCACAACAAATCAAAACTAAGGTATCGCATAAATTTGCCAAAGCCCAACTGGCTCTGACCCGAACTGTCAAGGTAGAGTCACTACACGCAGAAATGAGCGTCGTGGCGGCGTCAGATAGATATTGAGAATCCTGTTTGTATTTATATGAACGAGAGCAATAAATTGTTTATCAGTGTCATAATAAATCAAAGGAACCCAGTATCATGTATATTCATATGGGTATTACTACCAGGGAGGAATGGCAAGAAAGTGGTGTGATGTAATGTGTGGAGAGCATCAAATAGACTTACATCTCTCAACCATTTCCAGCCTACGAGGATACCCAAAGTTCTACAAGCTGCTGATCGCACAACCGAGGCTGTCCCAACGTCAACATCTTTTTCTTTTGCCATCACACTAGTAGCATCAAGATCTTGTTCCGGATTTTCACCGGCTGCTAGTGCAAGAAGTAATGTCATACAAAATAACCGTCTTCGAATCTAATATCATGGCAGGAAAGGAAAACGAAGTTAGCAAAATCAACATAATGGTCCAACGAAGGATTGACCGGAAATTTTTGAATTTTGGAAAAACATGTACGTACGTCCACTTCACCCGCAACAAATTCCGTCATGTCACTCAAACAATCAATTGCTACAGACTTCACTACGGAATCCTTGTTATCAGAATTCGTCAGACAAGTGATATATTTGTCTAAAACTGCAATCCACCATTGGACCACATGTGTGATTGTAATATGATTGACAATGGATAGTGTTGTCGAAGGAGCTTCAGGTGTCATTGTAGGGGAATTAACGGGGGCTGATAAAGATGCGGTTATATACGTGGAAAGCGACTTGATTGACTCGTTCAAGAACTTAATCGCTGATAGTCTGATTAGGTGGTCTGATTCAGAAGCGCGGTGAGGGTGGCGGGTAGATGAAGACGAGGGGATTGATAACAAATGCGCAGATAAGACCCGTTCAATTCTGTCCCAGTGTTGCCTATTTACAGAAGCATAAATCGATAGGGAGAAAGGATTCAGTTATCGCTCGTAACATTTTTCAATGGCAATTGTTGAAAATGCAAAAATAAAGCCGACTGGTAGATGCGACATACCAGACCGTCCGGACGTGTCTTCTGGCAATTACACTCAACAATCCGTAGCTTTCAACCACAACATTCGATATCTCTTCTTTCTCCGGCCCTTCATTTTCCTCGGTGTGGGCTCGTAACGAAAGGGTTAAGAACGTCATCAAATCTACCTTCCCCGGATCTTGTGATTTCGAAGGGTTGGGTGGACTGACATTTGGGAGAAGCAATACCGAAGATAATTGTGAGATTCCGGCTTCGACGTCAACGATGGAAGCAACAGATGATAGAGCGAGAGATCGGATTGAGGAATCTATGAATATAACGGTGAAAGAGAAGGATGCGTGTTAGAGATAACCCATTGAGAGGGAATGCAGAAGCAGACGGGAACTATTACCTGAGTGATTTAAAAGTGGTGTACATGACTCATACAGCTTTGTAAGGTATCCTTGTGGTAAGCGCTCGTAAGAACAATTGTTGACTAATACTTTTACGCACTAATGCAATCAAATAATATCAGAATTTAAATTCGGACGGAAATATTTTTATAATGCTAAGAACAGAGAGACATTACCTTCAGCCCCTCGTATAGTACACTTGTCACACCTTCGTCTTTTAAGACTGCGCAAATCTCGGAATGACAATCCCTAACCAATTCGCCAAGTCTTTCGGATAATGAGGTAAAGGAAGATTGTCCTTTAGATTTCTTCCCTTTCCCAGTCTTTTCGGTGTCATTGCTTCTCGGAGACAAGGACACTCTATCTTCAGCGATACCCAAGTAACCTTTTGCCCCATCCAACATCGCAGCAATGCAGACTAACCCTGAAGCTCGAATTTTATGGTGTGGGTCGGAGTGGATCAGAGACAGAAGTGAGGGTTGCGATAACACTGATGTTGAGGCGGAAGAGGTCGAAGATGAAGCCAAGAGTTTCTGCCAATGACTGTAGAGATGCTTTCCAGTGACTCTAGCCATTGTGAGCAACAAATTCAGAGCATTAATTTTTATCTTATGATCTTCATTTCTTGTACCTTTTGACTTCGTTTCACCCTGACTAGAGACTGACTCAGAATGGGAAGGTGGTGCTCGGTGCCGTCTTGACGATTCGATATCACTCACTTCAGAATCTGATGTCGAAATACGAATTTTCTTAAGTGAGTCGGCGATATAAGGATCTGTAGACGACAACATTGTATTGGATGTCCGCTGCGAACTTGTTGACTGTCGAAATGGAGTTGTAGGAAGGACTGATGAATGAGAAGGTAAGCGGAAGGTACCCGACACCCAAGTCTCGCCGGTTTTGCGGAAAAGACACCAATAGAGTGAATCTACAATAGCAGTGATAGAATCTGCATCTATTCTAATCATAGAAGGTTTTGATTTTGACTTGGAGGCCACGTTAGACGTTGAATACGGGTCTTGGGAATCTTCCAATATAACAAATGCAGATTTATCTTCTGCCAATATGATTTGAAGAGAGCGCAAACAGGAAGATAACGTCTATAAGAGGATTAGCATACCTGCGCTAAGTTCAATGTTCATTTGAAGCAGCAGACATACCCTTTTCTCTTCGACGGATGCTGTTCCTTTTACGTAGCTATCCACACGCTCTATCATCACGGTTTTAACAACGTTCATCATTTTGTGGTAATTCTGCTCCGAAACCTTTGGACCGCTCCTGTAACAAAGATTCCCGAGTGTATTGACAACCATTCTCGTAATCTCAGGCGGAAAATCCATTGTGTTCTTAAAATTCACATCGGTATAGGGCAAGTTATTTGAGGATTGGGTACTGAGGAGTGGCAGAAGTAAGGATAACAGCGGATCATGGTACTAGTGAATTTTCAAAGTGTTAGAATAGATAATCAAATGTAATGGACGGTCGGTTGAATTGTCATGACGATGAAAGCCAAAAACTCACTACATCATGAATCCACCACTTGGCAATTCATAAACCAGCCAATTATTAACAATTTAACAGAATAGCCAACAATGCATCTGAAAACAAAGATATATAAGAATTAGGAAAAGGTAGCAAACAAACCTGACTCAATTTGGCACCATTCTCAAAAACGATCATACTCAAATTTCTTAGAACATTGACAATTCCCCTTCCATGAAGACCTTCACTTTCCAATCCTTCATTAGCATCGTAAACTTTTTTTGCACCCTTGGCCGATGATTGAACGCTAGGCAAGTCAAACTGAAATTGTGAAATCGCCGATGACGATGTATTGGAAGAGGCCTTCGACGAATTTGCTCTGTACTATAAGTATGTGAAATAATATGAGTAACAAGCATACAGGATTTGAAAAATAAACCATTAGTACACCGCCGTAAATCATTTATCCGACATGTCTATCTAATCCAGCACATTAGGCGACCAACCGACAGGACACAGTGACAAGAGCAAGCTACAAACTTGTTGTATAAAAGACAATACGAATGCTTCAGAGTCTACATCCGTCTGAGGAATAACATTTGCAGTCGAGGTCATTACATTCGTTCGAATGTGGAGGCTCTGTCGAGATGACGATGACGATTCTTAAACGTTCAGTTCAAAAATTGAGTTGAGGGAGTTTCTTCGGTCGGGATTGAGATAGCGACTATTTTAAAGCTCATATTTTCGTTTCTCAAGGGATTCATATCATCAATATATTTCATCAGACAAGTTTGGAACGCAACATTTACTACTTTTATAACAATATTATTATGGAAATAATGGATGAACCATTACAAGGGTCGTAACTTAAAGACACTGAATGTAAAACATAACAATAGTATAGACAGATTAATTAGATTTCAGAAGGAAAAAAAATATTAATCTAAGATATCGAAGAAAGTAAATACAAGAAAGTTCCGACAGAAAGAAAAGGCCTCGCGCCAAAAAAAAAGTCAAAAGAATTTTCCGCAACGGGGAATTGAACCCCGGCCGCCTCGGTGCTTCTCAGTTTGAGAGCGAGGAATCCTAGCCACTAGACCATTGCGGATTGATATTTGCATTGAAAATGTTAAATTTATATGCTTCCAATTCTTAGTAATTTTCATCCTAATTACACTGATATCTCCAGTAATATATAAATTTATCACTACCATGCCATTACAAACCACAGCTTATATGTCTCAAGTGACAAAACATCGGATGTATTAACCTCACTTGACCATTTTCGCACTGGCTGGCTTGTTCCTGACCAGTTTTGCCATGAACTGCATTCAAATTTTGTACATAGATGATGATCTCATCAGCAAAGATTATATAGTCTTCATAAATGGACCGCCAAAGGAGCCTGCGGGATTGCAATTACGACTGTTGTCGGGGTTGTGAGCCATTAGTCAGTTTTCCGAGGCGTTGGCTTCGGATTGGCAGACTGACGTTCGACTCTGCAAGTTGCATGAGGAGAAAATCAATGAATCACCGTCACTTTATCATTTCATAAATTGACAGTAGTGCGATTGCGTTATGAGCTACAACACTATTGAACCAGCTGTTATCGATGACGAATTGCTTCAGAAGGCCATTAATGATCAAGCTAATGGAGAGGTTGCTGAGATCGCGAAAAGTGAAGGCATTGAGTTGTCGGAAGTAACTTCATTGCGCCTGGATTATAAAAGTGCGTTTTTCAATTGAACAGCTAGTATTTAGAATGTGTCAAGCTAACATTAATCCTGGAAATTGTGATAGATGTATTGAAGATTGACAACTTGTGGGCATTCGAAAACCTCACCAAGCTACAGCTTGACAACAACATTATAGAGAAGATTGAAAATCTGGGACATCTCAAACATCTTGTATGGCTGGGTCCGTTGATAACAGAATATCGTCCTCAATGATGGCTGTGGCAATAGCGATGGCAGTATATGATCGGCGACTGATCTATCAATGACTCTCGATTTCAATTATAGATCTATCATTCAACAACATATCTGTCATCGAAGGACTGGACCAATTGACAAAGTTAACGGATTTGTCTTTATTCAACAATCGAATCACAAAACTTGAAAATATGGAGGCATTGGTGAATCTGAATGTATTCTCTATCGGCAACAATGGGTTAGACAATTTAGAAGATGTATGCTCGTTTCTGGAAATGAATTCTCTCATGCGAATTCTTTTGACAATCAGTAAAGCTAGGATACCTCAGCCAATTTTCCAATTTGCGTTGTGTCAACATATCCGGTAATCCAGTCTGTAAACATCCGAATTACAAGTTATTCATTTTAGCTCGAAACAAAAATTTGTCTTATCTGGATTACAGATTAGTAGAGCCTGATATGGTAAATTTTAGGTTTCATCGATACAGCATATTTAACATTGCGCTTATGCTGTATGGTATTGCAGGTGAAAGAAGCGAGAGATCATTTCGGAGCAGATATTGCGGCCTTGAAAGAACAAGAGGAGAGCATCCAGAAGAAGAAAGCGGAGTTAGAACAACAGAAATCTTCTTCCAAATTGTATACAGTAAGCATGGTTTCCGAATCATTGCTCTGTAATGAAGAGTTTAACAGTTTATAGGATGCGCATATCCCTGATATCGACAGATTATTCCAAAACATGTTCAGCCAAGATAACGAATTTCGAAAACTGCAGTCACTCTCAAAAGACGCCGTGACAGAGATAATTGAGAATTATCGTGCGAGATTTGAAATTATATTGAATGAGTTAAAGCATGCAATTCTAAAGCAACATCATTTGAGGAGTGATGAGTACTCGTTTTTCAAGCAATGCATAGGAGATGCGAAAGACGAGGTGGATAGTTTGGGAATCAGACAAATTAACCAGTTTATGCATGAGAAGAAACTGGTACATTCGTCGAATTACGCTTCTTCCCTCCAAGGTACTGACATTTTCTGTTCACTTTCATACAATGTAAGAAACTCCACATTATCCGCACTAGCCGGATCCCAGGCGAAGTGGATGCAACCATCAAATCATTAAAATCGATAACACAAGAGTTAAGGGACACTTTAATCGGTCAGGAACTAAAAATATCAGAACAATTTGAAGTACCCAAACTTCTTCTTGGTCCTCCATTTTTATCCTCTCAGCTCAACCTATATTACAACATTACAGGAGTTAATCAAAGAGTTTGAACGCAACTATACTGATTTATGCCACGGCGTTACGGAATATTCGCAAACATGTTTCACCAAAATGAGGGAACTAGAAAACGAATATCACGAGAAATTCATAGAAGCTGTTATGACGGCGTTTGATAAACTCTCAAAAATGGAAACAGATGAATTGAATGAAGAAGTTAAAGACGTACGTAACTTTTTTCTTCTGCACATCTCATCTGAGATTGACGTGTTCATTTTCTACTTTGTCACTTTCACATTCTTATTCCAAACCACAATACAATCATGTAGTTGCTGCAAGACAAAGACATGGTCTCAAATATGCTTACAACTTCGCACGAATTTCGTCTAAGTAAATTAGATCAACAGGTATAATTTATAGCATACAAATCCTCGCAAAACCTATGCACAACTACTGACACCCTCACCCTCATTTATACCCATCTACTCCTGTTCTATTTATTGTTACATATGATGGAATTCACAATCTCAAACTGAACTAATTAAAATACCAGGAGGAACAATTACAAACAGGAATTGCCAAACATCTTGAATCAATGATTCAACAAGTTCAACAGGAAGAAATTAAACGAAATAGGGAAAGAGTGATTGAAGTACTAAGTTTTATTGGGAGATGTAATAGCGAGATAGAAACCGAAGAGGAAAGTTCTTAATTATATTAATTTGTTCGGGAGGATGTTTGAATGGGGGCTGCAAGTTTTGCGATGGGTTTAGAATATAATAGTTTGATTTCTAATGTAGCTTCACCGAAGGTTGAATTTATTTCGCAAATATTTCCGCTTTGCTACACATGAACATTCCAAACGCGAATTGTAAGAGTAGAACACAATTCAGTGGTTAAACTCATTCGGGTGGACAAATGACATTAACAAATCGCAAATTAAATAACCCATACTCTCCGATGAGCAAAACATCGATTGAACGAACAGAAATCTAGGGACAAATCAAACCAAAATCAAGTTTTTCTAGTCACCCCAAATTGCCCATCCCAGGTGATTCTTTGAGTCAATTTATGCTCATTCTCCTTTTTCTCTAAATCATGTTTTACATCGGCGGCAAAGAATATGACTCTAAGATCTGACTTTTCGTAAATTTGTTTCCGTTGAGACGGGAACGCATTAAATAATATTTTTCCATTTGAATCTCGTTTCTCTGGTAATCGGAGTGGAATCACTTCGTACACATTTGGTGGAATGTAGGGTCTCGTAATCCGTGTTGATGGAGCATTAAGATTGCTTTTGTTAATGGAAGAATGAGTTAGTATGAAATAATAGTAGAAGGCAAAGTATAATTATGAAATTTCAATGTATTACCTGATACTCAATTTTTCTCCTTCCAAGACTCGAAAGCCTTTTTTATCAATCCATAATTTTTTGCTCTCGTTTTCCTTATTCCTTTCGTACTCTTTCGCGTCGACCAACACCACTGTCTGGCTAGGTGAGTGTTCGTAGCAATACAATTTATCTTTACTTAGCCTTTCAAACAACGTTTTACGTTCGCGCTCTGTGGTGTTTAAATGCTGAGTACTGTATATATAAATCGGTTCCGAAAGAACAGGTGATCGCGGTAATGGGGTCGAAGTACTCGGATACTGAGACTATAATCGTTGAAACGGTCACTCATATGATGACGAAGGTGTAGAAATCTCTAAAATCATTAACAAACATACGGCATATTCCTTCACGAAATCAATGTTCAGACTTTTGCGATCCTTAAGAAATTTCTCAAAGCTTGTATTCTTAGTTTCTACTTTCGCACTGATTACTTTACTATCGTCTCCTTTCTTTCTGCACTTTTTATTATCGTCGCTCTTATTGTCCACTGAATCGTTCGTTTGGACTTCACTTAAGTACCGTTCTAAATTTTTGTTGTCGACGGTCGAATCTGTTTTAAAATGGGCGTACGCGCACGCCAGTGCTCCTACTTGATGCTGAAGGAGAAACAGATGCGAGAACTTCTTGAAGACTGTAGCAGCGTCACGATTATAAATCTGTATCGTAAAATAACGTTATCAGAAACGAACACACTGAAACATCAAAGGCTGACAACGATAAATGAATACTCAAACCTCGCTTAATATCCTTAACGCATCAAAAGCACCAGAGGGCAATTTATTTCGAATGTAAGTTTTTGAGTCTTTCATAACTTCTTCGACTGGCTTTTTTAAATGTACCCAATGAATATTAGGTGAAACTCCTTGCCAAATCCGTTCTTGAAAGGTTATTTGTGGATCGTAATAAACGTTCAAATGGGAGTACTGATGAAGATTGAGGCTGAATAAAAATTGAAATGGTAAGGGAGCGGTATTCAATAACAGAAAATAAGGGTGGACACAAAACCTTGCAAGATCTATTCCCAATGACTTCATTGCACCATCGGCTCGTCCTTCAATAAACAGACAAGCGAAATTGTCATCTGAAATAAGGTTACCTGTTATTATATCCTATTGCGATGAACCAATCAAGCACACATTCAAAATAAGCCCGGTTGAACATAGTAGAAGCAAAACTCGGTTGTCGGTGATACTCGAAAGTTTGCAGACTGGACAAAGTAAAAATGACAAACCAAATGCTTGTCTTTTCTTTGTTCGGGCGACAATTTGTATTCGCCAAGAGTTCTCTTTGCTATGTCAGAATCTTGTGTATTCAATTCTAAACCGAAAATATTCAGTGCTTCAATCCGAGTCAGAATGTCTTTGAAGATACGAGAATCGGAAGGTCTACATCAATAGTAACGAAACTCGTTATTTCAATCAATTTTGCGGACAAAAAGAGTATCGAAAGAGACGAACTTTGATGAAATGACCATCCTTAAAAAATTTCCGGTTACTTCATCTGTCATTCCAAATATCGGGTACTTCGACTCTACTTTTATTTTCAACAGAGAATCCGAT